TCCTAAACGGCACCCGCCTTTTCTAGCTGTGCGCGCTCCCTAGGAGCGCGCACCACCGCGATCCGGTGTCCGCTGTGTCCTCCGGACACAGTGAAACACCGATCGTCGGACGGGACCTCTGTACGAGGTCCCGGTCATGTGATCACTGATTGGCGAATCAGTGATCACATGCAAAGTAGTAAGCAAGATGTCACTTGTGACATCATTGCTCACTACGTGTGAAATCTGTGAATGATCACAGAGGTCACATGGTACAAGGCTATTCACAACAGCCTTGTACCATGTGACAAGCTGTGACCAATCACAGCTCACTCAGTATTTCTCAATGACTGCAAGAATGCAGACAGAGAGAAAGAGAAATGATTGCTTTTACATCCTATATGGGTGTAAAAGCAATCAGTGTAAAAAAAAAAAAAAAATCTTCATCACCCCCCACAAGTAGTACAGTGTCACCATGGTGACACTGTACTGCTAGGGTGACAGTATGTAAAAATAAAAATAAAAAATAATATAAAAAAAATAAAATAAAAATGTAAAAAAAAAAAAAAAAAATGTTTAAAAATTATAATGTTTGGTTATAAACTAATTTGGATTTTTTTTTTTTATTAAAAAAATAACGGAATAAATTTTGGCCAAGATTTAGGATGAAATATTATTTATTTGCAAAATTTTATTAAAAAAAACACTTTTCAAAATTTTTGGACTTTTTCATTTAAATAGTAAAAAAAATAAAAATCCCAGCGGTGAATAAATACCACCAAAATAAAGCTTTATCTGTCTCAAAAAAATGGTAAAAAATTCATATGGGTACAGTATTGCATGACCGCGCAATTGTCATTCAAAGTGTGATAGCGCTGAAAGCTGAAAATTGCCCTGGACAGGAAGGGGGGTAAAAGTGTCCGGACAGGAAGTGGTTAATGAAAGGTGCAGATTTTTAAAAAAATTGAAAACGACTTTTAAAAGGATGTTACATGGTTGATTTACTAAAGGCAAATAGACTGCACTTTGCAAAGTGCAGTTGCACTCTGCAAGTGCAGTTGCTCTAGAGCTGAGTAAATGAGGTAAAGCTTCACTTTGCAAAAAATACCCAATTACATGTAAGGAAAAAATAAAAAAAAAACTGCGATTTTTCAAGTACTTGATTGGCTGATGGAAGTCAGTAGAGCTTCACCTCATTTGCTAAGCTCTGGAGCAACTGCACAGTCTATTTGCCTTTAGTAAATCAACCACTATGGTATTAAAGCTCACATGATATTTTAATGACTGAGTTTCTTTCTAGTTTACAATTGCAATTTTAAAGAGAAAAAGGGAATTTCAGAAACAAAGTATTTTGGACAGTAAGGATGGAGTCAGGTTGGAGGATCTGTTTTTGTAACTCCATAGTGTAGTAAGCAGATAGAGTGCATCTATCTTCTAGGTATACATACCCTTGGGACACAACTGACCATTATTTTGTTTTTGGGGTTTGTTTTTGTCATTTTAAGTACTGCAGTGGCTACCTCAAATGTCCTAAACAGCCAGCTGTCTATATTACATTACTGTCATAGGAAGGGTGATGTCAGAGAATTCTCACCCCACCCCATAATTATGACTCAAAAATGAATGAAAAATTCCACATGGACCTGCACTCCCACCTGTTTCCTGCACAGGAGAAGCTAAGAGTGAAACTGATGCTCATTAATACTCTCTGAGGAAGGAGGATAATTTATTTTAGTCTTTTAACATGGGCGCTGACAGAAAGGCCAGCAGTACTCTGAACTCTTGACTTTTCTGAAAGGTCAGTCCAGGGTGCTATGGTGAGAGGATTATTTTTTAAGGATTTTCTTGACTAAATTTAATTAATAGATGAATTATGAACTATTACAATAGTCAGTAAAACCAATTTTGTCTAAGGAAATTTAATATGTGATATTGTATTTCATAGACATATGAAAGCTGTAGTAACTATATAAGAGATGAAAGCAAGATTGTATTGTGTACACAAAATCCAAAATAACACTTTTACTGCACAGCAAGCACCTCAGCTGCTAGTTCTTGCCCTCATCTTGCATCCCTGCCACCTAGCCCACTATAGGAGCTCACTGCATGCAACAGAATTCTGGTTATAGGGCACACATGGATATAACTACCTGCAGTGCAGAAACACTAAGATGTGAGTCTGACATTCCCAGTATGGGTGATCAAGGGCAGAAACATGGGTCAGGTGAAATAGCAGGAGCAAATGAAAGTGTTTAATTGAAAAGTGTAATTGTACTATGTAGGATCAAACTATTGTTTATGACTAATTGTTGCTCCCGTGTTGAGCTTTTTTAATCATTTTAATAATAAAGATTACAAGGGAGGTTATATAAAGGTAATCATTGGAGTTTGTTATAGGCCTCCCAGTGTTAATGAGGAGGTGGAGACTCAGCTCCTTGCACAGATTGAAAGGGCTGCAAAGGCTGAGACAGTGATAATAACGGGGGATTTTAACTACCTGGAAATTAACTGGAGTAATGGTACTGCAGGAACAGTTAAAGGGCAAACATTTTTAAACCTACTACAGGACAATTTTATGGTACAGTTCATAGAGGCCCCAACTAGGAATGTCTGCTGGACCTGGTAATCTCAAACCATGCAGAGCTTATTACAAATGTCCATATAAAAGAGCATCTGCACATAGAGGAAAAATAAAAAAACACTCAACTTTAAGAGAGCTAATTTTCTAAGGCTGAGAGCTGCTCTCCAAGACTTAGACTGGGAGGGAATATTGGCATCAATGAACAATGAGCAAAATATATTCCCATGGGCAACAAGTTTAAAAGGCTAAAAGTCAAACCTATGTGGCTTGCGGCCAAAGTTAAAAAAAGCTATAGATAATAAGAAAAGAGATTTTATTAAATATAAAAATGAAGGAACGCTATCATCGTTTAAACATTACAAAGAATATAACAGAATATGCGAAAAGGAAATAAAGGCAGCAAAAATTGAAAACGAATGACAGACTGCAAAAGATAGCAGGACAAACTCCAAAAAAAGTCTTCAAATATATTTATAATAAAAAGGTCCGGTCTGAGCATGTAGGCCCTTTACAAAATAATCTAGAGTGGGTGACTGGGGACAAAGAGAAGGCAAATGTATTAAATACCTTCTTCAGCTCTGTGTATACAAAGAAGCATGGGGGAGCTCTTTTCCATAATGGGCATGGTATTGACACAGCTCCAGATGATCTACATTGGCACACAATTGATATGATCCAGAAATATTTAGACAGAATAAAGGTGAATAAAGCACCTGGACCGGATGGCATACACCCATGGGTCCTTAAAGAATTGAGTCTGTCATTTAAAAGCCATTGTTTCTAATTTTTAGGGGATTTTTTAATGACTGGCATAGTACCACTGGATTGGTGTAAGGCCAATGTGGTGCCAATATTTAAAAAGGGGTCAAAATCTTTTGTCAGTGGTGTACCCCAAGGTTCAGTGTTGGGACCCTTACTTTTTAATATATTTATACACAATATAGGGTCTGGGATTAAAAATCCCATTTCAGTCTTTGCAGATGACACCAAGCTGTGCAGTGGAATAACGTCCTTACAGGATGATTCCAACTTACAAGCCGACCTCAATGCACTGTTTAATTGGGCAACTATGTGGCAAATGAGGTTTTGCACTTGGGGGCTAAGAATATGCATGCATCATACATACTGGGGGGGGGGGGGGGGGGGGCACAACTGGGTTAATCAATGATGGAGAAGGATCTGGGAGTTCTGGTAAATCACAAGCTTAACCTCTCTAGTGGTCTGATTATGTCCATATTTCTGTGCTCAAAGCGGTACATTTTTTTGCATGGAAATATGTATTTTTTTTACTTTAGGCCTGTAATTTTTAGGAATAACTCACTGAAATCTGTCCGAACAAGAGTCTAGTAAACATCCCGGGTATGTTAAAATTTGAAACACGAAATCATAAATTATAATTTAATAAATAATCATAAAAAATAATAATATAATAGTAATAAATTTATTTCAATAATATAATCAAACCAAAAAACACTGAAATTTGAAATATAGCGCCAAGTTCGCACATCACTGAGCAAAGTCGCAGAATCGTTTTCAGTGTCTGTTGATGAATTTCCCCACAAATCATTATCACTCAATTCTACAAGTGGTTCTAACTTACTATCGCTGTTCTCTAGCTGGTCTAAAACCGATTTTGACCTAAAGGGATGCTTTTTGGATGCCATGGACGTTTCTCAGTTTTCATGCAGAAAGAACAGTAAAAATGTAGGCAGGGCACAGGAAAAGCACTAGGGACAACATGTTTGTGAAATGGTTTGATAAAGTAATGTTTTATTATGTGATTTTAGTGAATTTAGTGAATGTCACTTTTTGTCATTTTCAAATTTCCCGCCAGTTGCATCCCGTACGTACGTCCCGATGCTCGCAGGGGACGGGACCCAGATGACAGATGCCGGCATCCGCCGGAGGACATTACAGGGGACACTGAAGGAGGGACATCGCTGGAGCGCAGAACAAGGTAAGTGATCGAGGGATCCCGGAGCAGCGCCGCATGGTGTAGCTCGGGGTTACCGCTTGTGGTACTGAAATTTTACCCTGAGCTACACTCTGGAATACCGCCAGGGAGGTTAATAATGGCATGCAATGCCAAGCTGCGGTTTCTCAAGTGAGCAAAATCCCCTCTTGTATTAAAAGAGGTATAGACTCCACAGAGAGAGATATCATATTACCCCGCTACTAATCATTAGTAACACCTCATCTGGAATATGCAGTTCAGTTTTGGGCACCAATTCACAACAACAACATTGGGGAACTGTAGAAAGTATAGAGAAGGGCAACCAAACTGATAAGAGGCATGGAGGAGATCAGCTATGAGGAAAGATTAGAGCAACTGAATTTATTCTCTCTTGAGAAGAGGAGATTAAGGGGGGATATGATCAACATGTATAAATACATCAGTGGTTCATATAGTGAACTCGGTGTAGAGTTATTTACCTTGAGGTTATCACAGAGGACAAGGGGGCACTCTTAACGTCTGGAGGAAAAGAAATTTAATCTCCAAACATCGAAAGGTTTCTTCACAGCAGGGGCGGACTGACAACTCATGGGGCCCCCGGGCAATAGGGGATCATGGGGCCCTTGTGTCCTTGCCCAAATCCTTGACCAAACTTAAAAAAGCCTATGAAAAAGGTACCAGGGGCATCTCATGGGGCCCCCTACTGACCCCGGGCCCTCGGGCAGTGCCCGAGTTTTCCAAATGGTCAGTCCCGCCCCTGCTTCACATTAAGAGTTGTGAAAATGTGGAATAGACTCCCTCAAGAGTTGGTTCTGGCCAGCTCAGTGGATTCTTTCTTAGATACACAGAATATAACTGGTTACTAACATTTATAGGTAAAGTTGATCCAGGGAATATCCAATTTCCTCTCGGGGGATCAGGAAGGAATTTTTTTCCCCTGCAGGAGCAAATTGGATCATGCTTTGCTGTTTTTTTGCCTTCCTCTGGATCAACTGTGTGTGTAGGATTATAACTTTTATTTTTATTTTTTTTTGGTTGAACTAGATGGACTTTTGTCTTTTTTCAGCCAGACTATGTACCTTCTTTTCTCCACATATTCTTTGTCAGTCTAAGAGCAGATGAGACAGAGGGAAATCCCAGTAGCCTAGATCTAGCAAAACTGATTAGTTAGAAATCTTCAGGCACAAGCCAGAGAATTCCCAGCTATGACAGTTAATGCTTGCCTAACCTGTCACATGGGGGGAAGGATGTGGGTTATTCCTAGTCCTATGCAAATACTGGATTTCAGAAAATTTATATTTTCTTAGCATTGATGGGGGTTTCCAGCAACAGATCGATCAGCAGGGAGGAACACAGTGAATGGAAAACAGACACCTTTTGGTACTTGTTGTAGAGCAGCAGTGCTAATTTGGATTCTGAGGACATTGTATAGGTCAAAAGAAATACCTAAAAACCGAACACAGGGCCAGTCATTATTAAGTAAAATGGAAAGTGATTTACCCAATTCCTGCCTTCAGATGCATCAGCTGAAATACAGAATAAATGCTCCATGCGGTTTTTTGTCCTGTAGTAGTAAATGAGTTTGGTTTGGTGCCGAGGGCGCAGCCCTGAAGTCTTGGGGGAGGAGAGACTGGCAAAGATGCGACAAAAATTTGGACTTTGGAGCCTCAGAGACCTCACCATCGAAGGGAAGACACTGGTACTCCGCAGCGAGATTCTCCCTGTGTTGCAGTACCTCGCCCAGGCTGGCCCCCACGGGTCAACACCTGTAAGGTCATCACCAGGGAGGTGTTTCACTTCATCTGGGGCTCCAAGATGGACAGAGTGAAGCGGGCAGTCATGTTCAAGGAACCCCTCAAGGGCGGTAAGGGCGTGCCCGACATCGCCACCCAACTGAGGGTGTTCTTTGCCTGTAACTGCATCCGCAGAACTTTGCCCAAAAGGACTATGGACTCTGGCGGGAACGCAATGTCACGCTTCTTCCTGTTGCCTCTCTGGAGGTCCCTCGGATGGGACAATTGGGACAGTTCCATCCCCTACAACTGGGACACCCCTTGGTACTACCTGGATACCTTCAAGTTTATCAAGGAGCAGGGGCTACAGGGAATCAAGCCTGACTTGTGGAAACCAAAGACCATTTACATGCTCATCAGAGCAAGTGACATTTTGGAGTCGGTTCCAGGCCTGCCTTCAGACACCTGCAAGGTGGTCTGGAGGAATGTTTCTTCAAACATTCTCACCAACAGGCACAAGGACCTGGCATGGATGGCAATCCAAGGGGGGTTGCCTCTCAGGACATTTATGCATGCCAGGAACCTGAGCAGATACAGACACTGCCCCTTCTGCATCATCCATGAGGAAACGTCTCATCACGTTTTCTGGGAGTGCTCTTTTGCTCAGGACCTGTTGGGGGCCCTGGAACCTGAACTCAAGGACTTTGTACCACAGACAGCCATCACACACTTTGGGGTGTTGAATGGACTATTCTGTGGAACTTTTTCTCTGGAGGACATTGACGGCCCCTGGCGGGTGCTGTGTTGTTTTAAGGACGCTTTATGGTGCGCCAGGAAGCGCCTCATCCACCAGCGGGAGAGGATGTCCATTGAGGACTGCCGCAGACTGATCCTCAGTCTGCTCAGAGACTATACCTTGATGGACTTTAAGGAGGAAGAGGACGTCTGAAGATCTCCCCTCCCCCCCCTACTCCCCCTTGCGTGTCTTTGTCCCTTCAATAAAGCTTCGGGCCTGTGTCCCCTTCTTTTTCCCCTTCCCCCCCCCCACACACCCGATGCTTATTGTAAAGTGTAACACCCGGTTTTTTTTTTTGCATGACTTCGTAATGTTAGGAAATGTACTGTGTTTTAGGATGCTATGGTCTCGGGGTAAGCGGTGTTATGCATGACGTGTTGGTCTGGGGATTTGTCCGCCACGCACATCACGTCAGGCATCATACCGCTGAGTGAATGTATTTATTTATTGAATGTATTTATCGTATGCTTGGAACTATATTTGCAATGTGGTGCGCTGCGTTGCGGTATAGGGTGAGATGTACCCCGATAAGGAGTATCATGTTTTTTTATACTTATGTAATAAAGTATCTTTTTCAATCAAAAAAAAGTAGTAAATGAAGCCTTTCGATAACTTTATTCCAATTCTGTAGGTTCTAGAAAAGAAGCTATTGCAAACAATGCAGCTCTAGCCAGGAGTAAACACTCACTATTCATCATTCAGAGGCTTATTTATCAGTGCTTCCAACCACAATAAACACAACTTCCACCCAACATCCACACCTTTTTCAACAGACTCCTATTGATAATGTGTAGACAGTAAGTGAAAACACTAATAAATGGTTCCCTTTCTTACGTTACTTAGACCTATTGAGGGTTTATTAGCAACTTTCACCCAAATTTCACACATTTTCCAACAGAATCCAATTGACAATGTGTAGATCTTAGGTGAAAACATTAATAAATACACCCCTTTCATAAGGTACTATGACCTGTTCAGAGTTCATTTGCAACTTTCACCTAAACTTCACACATTTTCCAACAGAATCTAATTGAAAATGTGTGAGGCTTGGGTGAAAAGATTTCTAAATAGACCTCTTGGGAGTTCATTTGGAACTTTCACCCAGGTTTCACATATTTTCCAACAGATTCCACTGACAATGTGCAGATCTTGGGTAAAAACCTAATAAATAGACCCCTTAGTAAGTTACATCCTATTGGGAGTTCATTTGCAACTTAGACCCAAGTTTCACGTATTTTCCTACAGAATCCAACTGACAAAGTATGGCTCTTGGTTCAAAACATTATTAAATAGACTCCTCAGTAAGTCAGTAAGTTAATTTGACCTGTTTGGAGTTCATTCGCATATTTCATCAAAGTTTCACGTATTTTCCAACAGAATCCAGTTGCAAATGTGTGGACCTTGAGGGAACTCGTAATACCCTATACCACTTATAGCACCGCTCAAGGTACTGTGGTAGATCTGGTGTCTCACGTCAATATAAGGATGCAGGCTGTTTTATGCTTAATCCAGAGAGCTATGGAGTATAAGTGGATGAGAGATGCCGCACACCACTAGCCCAACAGATGAGAGAAATGTGAACAGCCTTAGCCATAACCTTGAGGGAAAACATTAATATTAGACCCTATAGTAAGGTTCTCTGACCTGTTGGGAGTTCATTTTCAGAGAGTAACCTCAAACAGAACTATATTCTGTTGTGCACAGGTGAGGTTTTAGAATTGTGCACAGCATACTTGCATATTATGGTGTACATACCTCTCAATGTGTCCTCCTGTAGCTGTTACAGATCCAAGGACATCAGAGTTCAGGTTCAAGATCTGCTTTCAGCTTGTCACCCATCAATTTTACATCAATGTTTTAATTTTCATGCTTTTTGGGGATGATGTCTTTTGACTTGTTACATGTGTTTGCTAGTTTCTTTCTATTTCAATCAAATATCAATTGTATTACAAATATATTTCATCTAATTTATTTCTGCATTAGAGGTTAAATGGAAAAAAACATTCAATATTGAACTCAGCCTTGTCCAAAAAAGTCCAAACAATTAAAATCTGCCTGTTTGTTTATTTTTTAATTTGACCTCAAATTGGCCAAAACATGTGTGGATACCTTTATTCATGTGTACTTTCTAAAAAGATTCTTAAAAATAGACATTTTTAATAATGTGTCTTTACATGCAGGGGAAGAATCTAGGGTTTATGGTGGAGATGGGAGAAGGGGGATAAAATGAGGTGAAGGGGAGAAGGGGCCACAGTGAAGGCTAGTACAACATTGAAGAAGAGGGGGAAGGCTGGGGGGATAAATAACCTTCTATGTGCTGTTCCCCCCACAGTCCCCCTAATACTCACATGAGCCCCCTCTTGATCCAGCCATGTGCATGGGAGTCTTGGGTCTCTTGCTCCTCATTTGCTGAGATACAGCAGTGGGAGCCATTGGCCATTGGCCATTGGCTCCCACTGCTGTCAATCATGGTCAGTGAGCCAATGAGGAGGAGAGAGCGGGGGGGAGGGCTGGCTGCGCCACAGCTCTATGTGTCCTATGGAGCGAACATGTACCAGTGCCCCCATAGCAAGAGGCTTAGTGTTGGGGGCACTGGTCAAGGGGGAGGAGCAAGGAGCGCTGGGGGGGGAAAAAGAAGAGGATCTGCTTTGTGCAAAACCATTATACAGAACAGGTAAGTATGACATTTGTTTGTTTCTTTTTTTTTTTTTTTTAAAAAACAAACTTTAATATCACTTTAACATTTAGGAGGGTGAAGAAAGGTGGCACTGAGAAGGAGAACAGAGAGGTAGGTTGAGCATGCTCCTTACATTGCAAGGAAAAGTCCTCTAGCACTCATGGCAGGGATATCAAAGTGCCTCCCTCTTGAATCATTTTTGCCCAGATTTCAACAGTTATATTTCCCTTTGCACTTGCAGCAATATATTTTTAATATTCCCCCAGGCAACAATAAATTCATAAATGATATAACATCCCAACCTCCGGGCAGC